AAAACTATATAAAAGTTAATGCATAACCACTAATTTGTTTTATGGTGATTGACTTGTGTTTTTGTTTCTGATTAACGATTGTTATTCTATAAAATCATTTTATTTTCTACTTCATTTATCTATGTTTGAAATATAACTAATTTATCATAAAAGTTGTTCGAATTTGAATATATTTATTCTATATTATTATTAATAAAATAGGTTAGATTAAATATATATATTTTGTTCTTTATGTTTATTTTACAGTTTTTATTTCTAATATAAATAATTTCTAAATTTTAGAAAAAACCTTCCTAATCAAAATTTCGATTATTTTATTGATTAAATATAATTTATTTAAAATTTAAAAACAAATTAAAAAAAGAAATTATTTTATTTGTTCATTTTTTGTTTTTGTTGTCTTATATGTCTTATAATATTTATTAATAAAAAAAAATAAAGATGATAATAATAAAAATAATGTTTATTTGAAAAATTGAATTAATCATGTTGAAGAATTTTTAATAATTCGTTAATTCTCATATCTTTTAATTGAAGAACATGTTGAAGTCGACGAAATTTTGCTTGAAGAATTTCAATTTGTTCTTGTTGTTGAAGATATTCTTGTTTTATTTCTTCATAATTAAGATTTGAAATATTTTTATTCTTATTTATATGTTTTGATGTTTGATTTGATGTTTTATATGTTTGTTGAAGATTTTTATTATTTAATTCTAATTTTTCATCTATTTTTAATCTTAAATTAAAAATAAGAACTTCAATAAGACCTGGTTTACCATTTGAAAGACCATTTATAATAACATCGGATAAATCAAGACCAAAATTTGATAAAAATTTTTTATTTAATTTTTTCCAATTTAATATTTTGTGTTCTAATGAATTAGCTGAATTATAATTATTTAAATCAATTAATTCTGGTAAATAATAATGAATTATTTCAGCAATTAATATACCTTTAATTAAATATAATATAATAGAAATTAAATTATTTATTTATTTATTTAAATTACCATCAGAAAAATCTCGTTCAATTATTTGTTTAGGTCTTGATAATGGAAGACTATCAATCCATTCATATAATTCTTCTAATAAACTTTCATTTAATTGCATTTCCCACGACATTATTTTCACTTTTTTTTTCTTTTAGATATATCGATAATTTTATTTAAACACAACTTGTTTTTTCTTACTTTACGATCAAACTCAAACAAACAAAGGCATATTTTAACGTTTTTTACTTTTTTTGTCACTAAACGACAAATTATTTGTTATGAAAAGTAAAAAAGAAAAAGAAGAAAATTGTTTCACAGTTGAGAAGAAGAAAAAAGGGCAAAAAAAGAATAGGAACATATAAGATGAAATATAATAGAAATATATTCCCCAGACTGAAAGGATAGGATATCGAGACGGAAATTCACCTCTCTCTCTCTCTCTCCCTCTCTCTAACATGTCATACAAATTATCACAATAATGGCACAGATAGTCATTCTCATGATACAAATAACCAAATTTATGGTACAAATTAGGATATCGATGTTACAAAAGCGCACAGTCATGGTACGAACGACGATATCGATGGTATAAGTAAGCACATATTTAGTTATTTGTATAATCGATATGATAAATTGTATAATAGTTTTGGTCAGTTGCATCATATGTTGAAGAGAGAGAGAGAGAGACAAGTGAATATTGATTTATAGAGTATTAAACCAGTCTAGGATGAAGGAAATTGATTGTTAATGATGATTACTTGTAAATGAAATATAATATTCAATTAATAGAAATAAACAATTAAATAAATAATATTATTTTATTAAAGAAGATTTCGTCTTTTTTTTTGTTTTTGTTTTTCTTTATTCAATGTAATTTTCAATTTAATAAATTTTCATTGTCAAAAGATAAATTCGACAAAAATAACAAATAACAATTAAATCAATTTTAAACAAAATAGAAATATAAATAATTTCAATATCAAGTTCGATTTTTAAATTAAATTTTAATAAAATAAACAAAAACAAATCACATTTGAAAAGTTTATTATTAATTATTCTTCAATATTAATCGTCGATTATTCGACGTCTCATTTTAATTAGATAAGATATTTTTTATTTATTATTATATACACACACAGATTTAATATCAAGTTGATTTATATAGAAAACATTATTTTATATATTATTAAACTATCCTTAAGATAATAACTAACCAAACTACGTTCGATCAATCTTCGACAATGTTAACATGTCCTAGACGAACATCGAGTGGTATTCACATGAAATACTTGAGCTTATTGAACAATAATATCATACACTATAGATAGATCTTGAAGCAAGACATTTTATCTCGTTTTAAACTCAAGATCTTCAATTTATTGTCTCATTACTTTAACTTCTTCCTCACATGATTGAGTTATTGTCCATGCACATGTAATATGCTTTGATCATACATATATTTTCTATTCTGACGTTTTAGTCGGTTTTTAATATCAAAAATATATAATAAACCCAAATAAAAATATAGATCCCATGATTGATTTCTAGGGAAGTAACAACTGACGATTATTGACTGATAGATCGTCACCGATCAAAAGCAATAATCGGTTTTTCACTGACACTCACTATCAAAGGAAATTTACTCTTACAATTTCTTAATTTGATTTTTTAGTGAGGAAAATGTTTTCGGGAAAATATTTATTTTCTATTAAGTTTGACCGAAGGTAATCGAGAATCGGGAAATCCAAATTTAAAATTAATTTATTAAAATTCCATATTCAGTTTTTTAATCTTCGAAAAATCTCTTGCAGGAGTGATTAAAAAATAAAGTATGCAATTTTAAGAAAATGATTTCAAATTCAGATTCGTCGTGCCTGATTATCTTTGGTCAAATCTTATAGAAGATAAAGAGTTTTTCGAAAAACACTTTCACTTACGTTAGTAAAAAAGTCCAATTGACAAATTATAAGAGTCAATTCAATTTCATGGCGAACGCCGGTGAAAAATCGATTATCGGTTTTGATCGATAACTTTAGTACCGGTTATTATCATCGTTACATTTCTATTGGTTTCATTGCAAAAAATATCAGTAAGCATAGAGAACAAAAATAAATAATAAAAAACAAATTGTTTGATTTATTAGATAATGTAAAAAAGTTATTTACTCAGAAAACAAGATTAAATGAAGAGCTTAATATATCGTAATGATCAAAAAACCTTGATCAATCTTTCGGGGCGAAGAATAAATTGTAAAATTTTTCATGTTCCTTTGCACCTGAGATAACTGAAAGGACTCGAAAACAAGATTTGTGCTAGAAAATATAGAAAAAAAGAGTGCATGGAGAAAGACTTTAATATGCGTGGCTAAAGAGAAATTGACCGTTTTTTTGCTTCAGACAGCCTACATGATGAAGAGTATTCTTTCGTCTTGAATATATTTTCTATTATTATTTAAATCTAGTTTAACATTTCAAGAATGTTATCTAAATTGTTAACATTATTGATGGGTGTAGATAGAAAAAAGCTATCCGATTCTTCTCGATCAATGATTCCGAAGAAAACGATTTTTTTTACAGAGTCGTTACTTTTTTATTTTCTCGATTATTTATAAAAGAAAATTTCATAATAAAATCGATTAATGAAAGATTTTTGTTTTTTTCGATAATTTAAAAAAACAAGTAAATTTTTTTTTAAACAATATAAACTAAGTTCATAAAAATAAAATAAAAAAGAATGAGGAAAAAAACCGACCTGATTAATTGCCTGATTTAATTTATTTTATTTTCTTGATTAATAATAAAATATGGTGTATTAGATTTGAGTGAAGCACGTTTAATAATTTCATAAAGAGACATCATAATAACAGAATTGACCATTATTATTAATGTTCGAACTATTGAACCAGAAAATAGTCCTTTAATATCTCTTTGTCGAATAATAATACAAAATGTTTTTAAAATCGATTCTCTATTAAATGCAACTTGTAAACGTGTTTTTAAATCGTCCATTGGTTGTGTTAAATATGATGTTAAAATAGCAGTCAATGTTGATGATAATCGACTTATTATTTTATCATATTTAACAGGAATAATTATTTCTAAATTCGATTGAATTTTCCAATAAAGTGTCCAAACAATTGAATTAAATGGAAGAGAGATTCCTAATGTTAATAAATAACCTTTATAAAAAGATCGAATTCCATCAGCAGATAAAAAATAAATTTGATGAATAACATGTTTTACTCCAGTGATGGGACCGGTTCGGTTCCAAATATATATTAAATAGATTTAACTTTGTTAGAGTGCTCTAACATACATCTTTATTTCTTATTCTCTTCTTCAACTTGTGTGTATGCGTCATCATTCGGATATACTTTATCTACTCTACATACGTAGGTCAATGGATCTGATTTTTCTTTTCCTCTCTTCTCTTCTTTCTCTCTTCCTCTTTTCTCTTCTACTTTTCCTATCCGATCATGCCAATTTCAATAAATTATCAGTCTTTTTTTCTGTTCTACACCTAAGGGCCTTTCAATAAAAGAAGATGTTGAACGTAATCTTTTTTATATAAAACAGTCT